ATAGACGTAGAACATAGTCGGGAAGAACACAAAAGCTACTAAGTTGTTCTTTAACTCCGCGCGTACGGAGTCGCGTGCGACAGATTGTTTTAAAATAAATCTAAACAATAAACAATATTTTTAGCAAATTAAACGTGTAAATAATTTGTCATTTGCATTGAATTTGATTTACTTGAGTTAAATAATGGTATATTTTTGTAGGTTTTTTTTACACCATCATCATTACTCTTTCAATTGTCACCAGGTTTTTTTCTGGTCGGTCTTTAATTTTTATTTTTAGTGTTCCGTACCTCGAAACGATAGAAACTGAACCCATATAGGATTACATTGTTGTCCGTCCGTCTGTCAGTCAAGACCCTGTTTCTCAGGAACGCGTGAAGGTATCGAGCTGGAATTTATATCAAATACACAGATCTACTGTCCCCTGGTGCTGTGAAAAAAAATAAAACTTCTATTCCAATCATAAGATACAACCGTTTATTCCTTATTTTTCCTTACGACATTTCAATTTTTGTTCCCTTGAACAGGAACTTTACATATACAAAAACATTTTCGTGAATTTGTTTTTTTTTTTTGTCTGTTTTTATTCATTTTATTTATTGTAAATTATCAGTGACATAATATGATATCTCAACGCAATACGGATGTACCTTTGACAAGTACAAAGTCCTTTGTCCAAAGTATTTGGTGATTAGGACGTGAACACCGAAGATATGGAGTTGTCTGCTCGTTTCTTAGATATAGTTTTTTTTAGCTAAGTGTACAGTAATTTAGTTACTGTTTGACACAAAAAATCACACGTAATGACAAAGGTCTAGTTTTGAAGTTTATCTCGGATATGCATCGTGAAACGAGAAAATTGTAGTACAAAAATCGTGTCTGAGAACAGCTCGTGAGATGCGCATTTGTTGAACCTGGACAATAATTTTGTGCGCCAGCGACCAAGTTTAAGGATGAGAAGGGGAAAAAACTTGACGTGGGAGGGAAATGTGAAACAGAGGAAATAAATCTTCTCTGTACATCCTTTCCACCTCTTACTTACTGTAGATGTCCATGGACAAGTCACTTCGATATTTTAGCGATATAGTAACTTTGTGCAAAAAATAGGTAACAACTAAACCAACCATATTTTTCTTCTAGGTTCTTTCATTCACATGAGAAATGGGACAACGCTTCTAAAGTTCGATGGGTACACATATAGGATGTCTCAATATGTTAAAGGTACTCGGTACCGGTTCCAGAGATGGTACTGTTCATCGAGAACGTACCATAGTTGCCGTGCATCTCTGAAATGTTTCGGATCAAAGATTGTAGGCCTCTACAATAACCATAATCATGGCAGACCAACACTTATACCGTATGACAATGAAACATATGTCAAAGTTAATGCTAAGCCATATACTAATATACAATGCCTAAAATCCGATGCTCTTAATCTTTATGATAAATGATTGGTGATTGCTTAATCAATCAAATTTCACTATCTCAAAGGCCGGCAACGCATCTGCGGTTCCTCTGGTATTGCTGATGTCCATGGGCGTTGTTGAACACCTCGGTGTTCCCGCTGCACGTTTGCCCTCTTCTGTTATAAAAAAAAACGCTATGACCTTTGCGACAAATAGGGTTGCCAGGTTACCAAACCTAATAGCCGGATAGACCAGCCAGTTTGGCCGGACATTTGGGTAGAAAGACCGGCACTCTACATTCCACCGGCCACTCTCGTTTACGAAATGTTAATAAAAGCCGGACAACTCATTTATTTTGGCCGCACGCAAACAAAAAGTTTACCTATGTCCGGCTTTATCCGGACGCCTGGCAACGCTAGCGACAAAGAATTACGTCTATTAAGGTATCTCATAAGAGTTGTAATTTTTTTACGTCGAATGGGTCCCTATCGTAACAACCTAAAATATATTTCAGAATAAACACTGATGTTTGATTTTACTTTGTAACATTACTGTTAAAAGTGTTAATAATTTTTATGATTGTTACTTCTAATTTTAATTGAAATAAAAACGTGAATTTCAGATTACCAAGAATTTTCCAAGTTAGGCAAAAAAAACTAAAGTATGGTAAATAAAAAGAAATCTACTTTATAATTTTTGTCAGTAAAAATTATTATTTAATTCCTATAGTTTCTTTTATTTCAATTTTTTAAGGATACTAAAAATCTTGGATATTTAAAATTATCAACAGAAATAAAAGTTCAATAACCTCGTAATCTTTTCATTGTAAAAATGTTTCTTCTCTTACTACTAACGCCATCTATTGGTAGCACATGTGAAAACATTAAACAGAAGAAGATAAAACGCAAAATGAATCAGCTTGACAACACAAACTAATTAAGTTTTAATTGTAAAAGAAGGAAGATAGTGACAGGGAGACCTAGAAAATCAATAACATACTATTTCTTTTAGGTCCTTTGTTTATTAAGTCTAAAAGAGGAAATCCTATGATCCGAGTGGGATTGTACAGTTTTGTTAAGCAGCGAAATGTTGGAGAAAAAACAAGATGGGGATGTCAATATGTGAGATTTGGATGCAAAGCGGCATTTTATACAACAGGAGATGAAATTGTAAAAGTTTGCGGTGAACATAACCATGACATGGGCGTAAAACCGCCAAAAGTTGATCGCAACAATGCAAGCAAACGTAATAATTCCAAATGATACAGATGTAACCTAATAATATTTTTAGGTTAATTGTTATTTTGAAAATTTTTATGGCCTAACCAAGAATATAAAAATCACGACCTGACGGATAAATCGCCTTCTTTAAGACAATGTATTTAGTAATGTGTGTAAAAAAAGAAATATGCACAGAAGCTTTTGCCGATGACGTGACGATAAACAGTAAATAAAAGACTAATAATAAATAGGTAGAGCTTAACAAAACAGCAATGTATTTTGATAAGAGCAACAAAGAATAAGCGATGAAAAAAATTAATTTAGAAAAAAATTGAGCGCGAAATGCGGTCTGTGTTAGTGTGTAGAGGTTTCATCGGCAAAACTTCTACGCGCGGCTATTAGTTCCATATTTTTCCGTAACAGGGCGAAGTTTTTATATTTTTGGTCGTTTATATTTGACATTAAAGATTATATTTTTATTTTTATAATTAGTTAAAAATTGTTCCAAATACGTACCCATATAGTTATGGCTTTTGGCTCTAATTTAGTACATATACATCAATTATAATGACAAAGTTTATTGAAGTTGATTTATAATAAAACTTTGTTTAGCACTTTGCCTTTTATTTATTTAATATTTTAAGTAGGAACTACACTGATTTAAAAATCAATGAGTAAAAAACTTTTTACTTTAAAATGTTAAATCGAATCGTGTAAAATTTAGTAACGGAACGGAACGTAACTTTACCGTAACGTCACTATGACAGATGTGGTGCGTCATCTGTCTCTTGTCTTGGTGTTTTTCTTTTTCTTGTGTTTTGAGTTTATTGCAATGTATTATTTTCGCAAATTTTTAATTAGAAGTTTTGTCGCGTGACCTTTTAACATTATATAAAACTTCACGCGAATAAAACATGAAAATTAACGTAGTTTGATTTAGGTTGGACAATAACAAAAACAAGAAGGAAATGTGTTGATTTTGAGTATTTAACAGTTTTAGAGACATAGTTTGCTGGTTTAATGGGTGGAAAATTAACAGCTTAATGTGTTTCCAGGTGAAGATTTAGTGCAATGTGTACCTACGAGAAAAGGTCATCATATTTTGTTTAAAGGTTATACTTATACATTCAAGAGTAGATTGCAGTGTGGTGCTGAACAGTGGTGTTGTTCGTACAGACAGAAGACAGGTTGCATTTCTATGATAAACATGCAGGCGTACGGTGTTGAAGTGCTAAGAGACTTTCATAACCACAAAAAACCAATGTTTTCTGATGGTTTCTAAAAGTACATTATTCACATTTGTATGGGTATGCCGTTTAGTATCTCTATTAGATTAGTAGGACATATTAAACTCAGTAATAAATTAAGATATATTAAACTCATAACTAATAGTAACTTATATATGATTAGTCTTGCGCAGTATGTATGCCGATGATGTCTGCTCCGTACAGTCAGTTAATATGTGATGTCATGTCACAATCGGCAAAGCATCTGTGCTATACATAATATTTAACAACATTTAATATGACATAACATTATATAATAGATGCAATATAGCAGTGAAAACTTAAGCAACTTTATTTGAACAAATATACAAAGAAAACTGAATGTCATAAGTGTATCTTACTATAATTACATTAATTAATTTCAGCATTTACTAGAAAATATTTAATGTTAATTATTAAATTTAAAGTCTTATAAAAACAAAAGTTAATAATCTTTTTAAGCCATATAATTTAGGAGATAATTTAACTTCAAAATGTATCATAAAATAAATTGCAATTTAATAAGCAAAAAAAATTGTTTTATTTTGAAATTTCAATTCAGTTATGTTGTTTCCTCTTTTTCATTATTAAATATTTGATTAAATATTTTATTTATTGATGTGGTATTTTATTTTAATATCCCTTTATTAAATAATTCCATTAACTAAGGATTTTACTTTACGTTTGCCAAAACTCTTGTTTTCAGCAAAAGCAAACAACAAACATGTATTCATAATCCTATAGGATCATTTTCCTCCATACAAAATATATATGTAGTAATGTGTATGAATGCTGTTTAAATGTATGGAAGATATATAAAGTTTCACTATTAAATGACTTCTATACATTTGAATAGTTTGATAAATTTTTGATTGTAATAAAATGTAATGGTAATTTTGTTTTTAAAACACAGAAAATATTTTAACACCTTAATACGTTCCATGCCACTATTTTTTTTTGTATGTAACACAATAAAAAAAACGTACGAATTGATAACTTCCTTTTTTATGTCGACTAAAAAAAGAATTCACCAGATGATGTGGCATTGAATGTGTTAAAGAATATAATAAGATGTATACATTTCTTTATAAAATAAAATTTAATTTCAGACATTTTACCAGAATGGATCTCAATATACTATCTAAAAATATCAGAGAATGAACAGAAATGTAATGTATGTGAAACAATCATTGAAGCTGATGAGAAATCTTTTACACTATTCAATCATATTAAAGATAATCATAAAGATGTTTATGATATACATAAAAACGGTACCGAAAGTTCTGTTGGGTTTCAAATTGAGTTCCTACATTTGTTAAAAGATGATGATCCAAAAACTCAACCGATGGTACTCGGACAAGTTTGTGAAACAATGATATGTGAAAATAAAACTGAACTTAAGAATGTTGACGAGAATGAAGATTTGCAATTTGTTTTGATACCAACAAAAAAGAAGACAAACAAAAAAGGTGCGAACCGTATGATTCATGGTAAGTTTTAAATTAATTCATCGATTTTCATATAAATAATAGAGAGAAAGGAATTTTTAAACCCAAAATTTAGAGAGTGAAAGACAGTGATATGTTTTGGATATTCAGTACGAATTATTTTTTAATTTAAATTTTAATCTATTTAAAAGTGTTTATGCTTAATATAATTTTCATAAATCCGACACTGTGCAGGTGTGGCGCAACACTAGCCTTACTAAAATGTCAAAGTTTATGTCCCCTCACTAATCATTCTGTCACTTGACTTTGTAATGAAAGCAAGTCATTCGCGCCAAGTGATTCTAACTAATCTCATATATAAAATTCTCATGTCACAATTTTCGTTCCCATACTCCTCCGAAACGGCTTGACCGATTCTCATGAAATTTTGTGAACATGTTGAGTAGCTCTGAGAATCGGCCAACATCTATTTTTAATCCCGCGCAGACGGAGTCGGAGACGGATATAAAAAGATAAAGCAAATAATTTATTCCATTAAATTAATTTACTTCTCTTTTCTTACAGAGAATCGAAGACGAAGCTGGGTGTGGAAATATTTTAAGAAAATGAGTAATGTTATATACCGCTGTACATTATGTGATGTTGTGCTATCAATAAAGGCATGTAACACAAACAATATGAACAGGCATGTACGAGCAAGACATCCTAATATATATAAAACTGAAGTTGGAATGAAAATAGACCAAGATTCAGATGTTACTACTGAAGATATTTCAGTAAGTCAGTCTTCTCCGCAAATCAAGGAGGAAGACCAAAATGTTATTGTTGAGGAAACAGATATGGATGATGCTTATTACGGTAAGTTGACAATGGATTTATGGAATTCAGTGTGTCCCAAACTGTACTATGACTTGGGAATATTCATAATGACTAACCGTAGATTTCTGATATCAAAATCTCTGTATAAAACATGTCTTATGTCATTATCTTGGGTGTCAGAAATCCTCGGTTAATAGACTAAACTAATTAACTAATTTTCTAAAGTAAGTTGTTTATTCTATTTGTATGGCTTAAGTCAAAGTAATAGTTAAGTTTGTAGTAAGTAAAATTCTTATTGCTTAAGTGGAATATCGTCATAGCTATTCTACATCAGTCGCGGCTTTTCCAGGGCATGAGTGATATCATATATAAACAAAGATTTTTGGTTTCCGGATTAGTCTTTCCACCCCCATTGAAACTTTTGGTTTAAGAAGACTTATACTTACACTTTTCACTCTTTGGGTTAGATATTATTTGTGTTGATAAAGTTATTGTTAAGTTTACTAGCTGTCGCTCGCGACTCCGTCCGCGCGGAATTTAAAAAAAACTATTGGTCGTAGCGTAATGTTATATAGCCTAAAGCCTTCCTCTATAAATGGACTATCCAAGAAAACAAGAATTTTTCAAATCGGACCAGTACTTCCTGAGATTAGCGCGTTTAAACAAACTCATTTGCTTTATAATAGTATAGATAATTGTTTTGCAGAGGCTTTGGGTCAGAAGCAACGACGAAGCTGGGTATGGTCGTACTTTACTCGCGTGTCGAAAACATTGGCACAGTGCAAACTTTGCAAACGGAACATCTGTCATGGTGGTAATGCGACTGGCAACATGAACCGACATCTCAAGATGGTACATCACAAGACCGGAGGTGAGGGAAGCTTTGCAATAGGTATAAGATTTTATTTCTTTAATCATGAGTTTCTGAGACCTAAATCTTTGTTTAAAACATTGATATTTCTGTTTTGTGATATACTGTCATGGATGATGATATATGATGTTTTGTACAGAGATTTTGGTTTCAGAAGACAACCGTAAATTACAAAACTTCTGCTGAATTAGGTTACTCGAGATAAATCAACTTTATAGTGTGTTTAGGAGTTACTTTATTGTTCGATTGATTTTATTACAAGACAGATTATTTATGCACATACAGTCCAACACTGACAACCGTCCATTAAGTACAACATTACGCTTCATACAAAATTAATTCGATACTTCATATACTTTAGTTTTCAAAGTAATCTATCTTTAATAGACATACTATAATCCATTAGTCCAAAAACGATAAGGATGCTTATGCTATAGTACATTATTTCCACTTATTCCATCATCCAAGTTTTTTACTCTAAATACTGTCTAGCTATCTCCCTTGACTCCATCTGCACGGAGTTAAAAAAAAACTTTGAAAGTCACCCATGGGTTCTTCCAGACTATGTTCAATATGTATGCAAAAATTTTGAGAGATCCGTACATCCGTTCTGGAGACACTTTCAAAACAAACATCCATCCATGCATGTAAACATTTCCATTTACATTATTAGTAATATTTTTTTTTGTTTGCAGAAGACAACAGTTGGGTTTGGAAAGTGTTTGATTGTATTGAAGATGATTTTTACTCATGTAAAATATGTCAATACAAATGTATGAAGTTTGAAGACATGGAGAGAAGTGTCAATTGCATATTGGAACATCTCAAAATAGAACATGGCGTCGTGTCTGGTGATCAAATCGTGATTGATACAGATTTTTGAGGGTATTTGTGAATTTTTTTTTATCATAAATTATTAAATATTCAATGTAAATACATTTATTGGTGTTATTGCACGGAGGTTATTCTTTTATTTTATATATTGTAGTTGGAGATTTTTAAATCAAGTAAAAGCTTCAATATTTGATTTTTTCAAACTACCCTACACATTTTAACTTTTGTATTATAATGATTAATTTTGGTTTTTATTTCTTGTATATGTAATTAGGATTGTATAGAGTATGGAATACATTAATTAACCATTAATTTAGTTATAATTAACTACTAAAATAAATTATCAAACTTTTAAAGTACGGAAAGTACTTGTTTTATTTGTACTAAAAACTTCATTGGTTGACTTGTAAAGACTTAAACCTGGGAAATTGAATCTGTACCTTAGGCAATATAAAAAAAGATTCAAACTTAACCCAGAGGGATAAGCAAAGTTTTACCTGATAATTTTTTTTATATCATAAGGTGGCAAAAGAGCGAGCAACCACCTCAAATCGCTGAAATAGAGAAGTGACCGTTACCCATAGACATACGCAATTGCATATGCGTTGCCTACCTTTAATCGACGGAGGAGAGGATGCACAGAAAGAAAACATTTTCCCTTTCCATGCATCCTCTCATCCGGAAAGTCCACTTCCACTTCCCATCCTTTCCTTATAAGAAAAAGGGTGGGAAGGGAAAGAGTTTTAAAAAGCTGTAACAAAATCTCTGTTTCTATATCAAGGTAAAGATGAAAATAAAACATAAATCAGTTTTGACTAGTTTTATTCTTTTACAAACATCAAATTACATCAAAAGATAATTTCCTATATTTATTAGTAATTTGGCAAATTACATCCATCACTATTGTGGGGTAACTATATTATACACAACCGTATGTATACAATTTTTATTTACTTAATATTAATAATAAAATAAATATACATAAATAAATATTTGATATGTTTTTAGTGAATATTTACAAAAGATAAAGTAAATTCAGTGTTAATTTCTCACTAAAATACCATACGTATGTCTATTTAAGATAGATTAGTTTGAAAACTGACGCCTATTAAATATCGAATTAATGTTGTATGAGCATTAATGTTGTACTTAATGAACGGTTATCATAGTGTCGGACCGTCGAGCACAACGAACTGTGAACTATCGAAAATTGGTCTTATAATAAAATTAATCCAACAAATGGGTATTATAATTTTTTTATATTATAACTTTTTAAATTTATTCCAGTTATTTGGCTATCTATCGTACAATTAATTTAAAAAAAAAAACTTTTTTGTGTAATCACCTCGATTTTAGGTTTAATGTATTATTTCTTTATGTCGTTATGAAGAAGAAAATAGGAATAGAAAGAAACAAATTTATGTTGTAATTCAAAATAAATAATCCCGAAATTTTTGAGTGCAAGTTCTATGAGAACAACAATCGAATAAATTCGTAAATCGATTTTACTCAATCTAGTGAATTCAATTGGAATGTCAAACTAATCTATCTTAAGTAGACACACTATAAGTATTCATTCTCTGAGTATGATAGTAACATAACTAAAGACAGATTGATTAATAAAATCTTTGTTATTGAACCTGTAATTTTTTCAAATACCCACATTTTTGAAGTTTAATTTAGACGGTACATTACAAAAAGAGGTAGAGTTAAAGGGTGTAAAAGTTTAAAAATTAATATATCTTTTTAAAATAAGAAAAATATAATAAAAAATATTTATGGTTAAACTTGTTATTAGATTATTTTTACGATTTTTATTTTAACTTTTCACTTTGAAATTTATTGTCTATGTGAGGTTTTTTTTAACTTTTATTTTATTTATGATTACTGTATAACTGTTTAACAGTTACCAAAAATGTATTTCTTAGATTCAATTTTATATAATTTCAAATGTAATATTAAAATAAAGTGTACATAATTCGTTTAGTTCAAATTATTTTTTATATAATAATAATACTTGTCTACACACAATTTACAAATTTCTACAATTTAACAATTATATTATATTAATATTATATAAATTCAAGAAGAAATATATAGGAGTCGATAGTTTGTTGATAAAAATCTTACAAGATTTTTTTCAACTATGTCACCCTTAAGTTTCATGAAATTTGACATCTAATAATCTATCATCAGCTCACTATACGTCCCCACCGAAGGGCACGGAGCCTACCCTAAGTTAAGGGTGATTAGGACATAGTCAACCACGCTGGCCAAGTGCTGGTTGACTTTACACATATCTTTGAATTTCTTCTCAGGTGCATCACGATGTTTTCCTTCACCGTATTAACCTAAATCGGTTACGTATACATAGAAACTTTCTTACGATGAAGGAAAATATCGTGATGCAACCTGCACATATCTGAGAAGAAATTCAAAGATATGTGTGAAGCCAACCCGCACTTGGCCAGCGTGGTTGACTATGGCCTAATCATTGACTTAGGATAGGCTTGGAGCCCCTCGGTGGGGACGTATAGTGAGCTGATGATGATAGATAGAAACATTATGCATATTTATGTTTTGTATGTAAATATAGTAATTAATTCCGTATACTAATTACATATTTTAAATTCTTTTTGTATTACCTTTTCATAATTATATTGTAAATAATTAAAATATAGTCGAATTTAATAGAAATAAGATTTTTTTTTAACATATCACTAGCTGACATATTTATGGATTCATTTTGGATATTTAACCGTGGGTTATTGAACCCAAGATCTCCGTTTAAAACATGTTGTTTACAAGATATGTTTTATACAGATATTGTGGTCTCAGAAACCAACGTAAATATTTAAATTGATGATAAAAACATGTCTATTTTTCAATAGGTCTGTTATTACAGCTTTTTAAAACTATTTTTTTACTGGTTAGTAATAATTTTTGATTTCTATTGAATTCGATTTCTTCTTTTATTTAAGACGGCTATTATTTTGGCAAAAATATGCAATATATTGTTTATAGTATTTGTACTAAATTCACAAATTTTTAAATGTAACTTATTAAGTTTTCTTTTCTTACTTAAATATTCTTGATAAATAGTTTAAACATTTATCTTAAATATATTTATTCTACACTTAAACACTTACATAAAATGTTAATAATTTCTATAAAACATAGACAATCTTTGTACATATTAAATTTATCGAAACCTAATTGTTTAATATTAAAAAAAAATTCAAAACCATAAAAAATACAATTGTGATTTGTCATGATCGTATTTGATTTGATTTAAGAAATACTTGAATTGCTAACAAATGTCTATAGACCCTGTATTTGATCCTAGTTATTGGTATTCTGGCAAAAATTCCGAGATTGCTATACAAATATCTTCAAGGTCAAAACCCAATAATCGACCCATACAATACGAAAATGATTTTAATTGCTTTTCATGAGAGTATTTTGTAAAATAAACAGATCAGATTTTACGTAATCTTGTTACTAATATAAATGCGAATTGGATGGATGGATGTTTATTTATTTGAAGGTATCTCCAGAACGTCTGCTTGGATCTTGTTAAAATTTGGCATAGATGTAGAACGTAGTTTGGCACCACATGGACTACTAAAGTTTTTTTTTAAAACACACGGACGTAGTCGCGGCCTACAGCTAGTATTACTAATATAATAAAAGCGAACGTAAGGATAGATGGATGTTTGTTAGATGATATCTCCAGAACGGCTGCATGGGTCTCGCTGAAATTTGGCCTAGATGTAGAAAATAGCCTGAAAGAATATATAGGCTACTATTTTTTTAATTCTGCACGTACAAAATCACTCTCGTATATTCATATACTCAACCTGAGTGAGCTGAGGGCCGCGTCCGCGAAATAATACCAGTCCCACTCACCCTGATGAAGGGCCCCCGATGGGATCGACACTAGTCGGTGCCGCCACCGGACGAATATACGTGAGTGTTTAGCCGTTTTTATACCAGTTTATTATAATGTCTCACGAAACTTAGAATAATTTGGTCGCGACTACTAGTAACAGATACATCGTTTAAGAAATTGTATAAGCATATCTCGAGATCGATTTTTGGGTTAGACTTTTAATAAATAACCGTAATACCACATTAGCTTAGTTTGGTATCTTACAAGAATACAAAAAAAATAATATCTGATCAACAAAATCAAATTAAACTTACTAATATTAAAATAATCAAAAGAAATTGAAACATAAAAATAATACACATTTTTAGACATCAATTTTAAAATAAATAATTTCTATAACATTTGTAATAATACTTTAGGGAACGTACCCATACTACGTGACCCCTTTAGGAGGGGGGGGGGGGAGTTAGCGGAGTCTTTAAAATAATACGGTCAGTCACAGGAGCGGGGGGAGCTTAGGTTTTTGTGACGTAGTCGTTAGTTGTTCTTTTTCATAATACATTATTCACTAGTAATTTAAGTATGCACGCAGTCTTAAAAAAAACTTAGAAAAAACTAAAAAAAATAGATCACGTAGTATGGGTATGTTCCCTTATTTAAATTCTAATTTATGACATTAAATATGTTTAAACAATTTTTAAAAATATACAACTAAAATAAATAACACTGGCAATTTTTTTACAACTATGAGGTAATTTTAGTTTTTTTTTTAAATATTTTACAGAGTTAATAGTTGTCACGAGGACGGTGTGTGTTATAAACATATTTTTTTAAAATGTCTCCTATAATTTGTACCTGTATTTTTTATTGCGTTTTAAATATATAATTTTAATATTACAAACGTACTATTTTGTACTATTTAATTTATTATTCATATACATAAATAACAAATTCTATGAATTTCATATTAATAAAAACTAATTATATACAATTTAAAGAGTATAACACAACCTAAATAAACAGGGATTGAAAAGGCGGTAAAATTCATAGCGTATATTAAAAAAAAAATATTGTCAAAATATTGTATAGACTATAAATAAAATTTTACACTGAAGGAGGTTTGGGTCCACAATTATGTTTGCTTTGTATATACACAATTCTGCCACGGTAAGTGTGTAGGGCGGCTTTACACCAGGGACCACGGGAGCAACGCCAACGTATCTTGCCATTTCTAGCACAACCGTTGAATCTGAACCTATAGCCCCCGACGTTAATGCCCATTTTGCCTTGCTTGCTAAGACAGTAAGATGCAAAGCAATCAATTCCAGTGCCGATTAAACCAACTGAAACATATTATAAAGTTAAAATCATACTTTGATGTACAAATAAGCTAATAAGTAACACGTTCAATGCCATTGACTTCTTGCACTTTCATACGCAAATCGTGGCATGGAACGTGTTGTGATGTAATGAAAATATAAATCCACTTGCATTAACATTGATAAAACAAAAAAAAAGTTAAAGTTTAAACTACATACCTATTTTAAAATCTTTAACTAAACTTTAATACTTCTTGATATAATAAAAACTATTTTAACAATTATAAAAACTCATTTATTGTATAAACAACAGGATTGAACAATAAGTAAATCTCCGAGACAGACGCACTGGTAGAGTCTCTTATCAAGTTTGAACAGACAGATACTGCGACGTTCAGACTCGTTATTTGGGTTTAGGCTGCGGGTATAAAATTTGCGAAGTGCTGGGCGGCGCGATGTTATTAAAAGTATAGCGCCATAAAGCAACGCGCAAAAAACAAGCAAGAGTGGAGTAGTACTTTTGTTGAACGGCCCACTCCGCCATCGCTTCGCCCCGTTCGTCGTTCAAGTGGGTTTCTGACATCAAAATATCATTAACTTTAACAAATACAGAGATGACAATAAAATTTAAACGGGGATTTAGGCGTCAGAAACTCACGGTTAGTGCGTCTATTTGTTTCTTCTCTTACAATAGAATCTAACGTAACATTTCGTCTGCAGTTAGCTTCGGGCTGTCGAGCCGAGGACACGTGGTGGTGCACGTTGGGGCTCACAAGTTTATCAAGCACGAGCGATATCGTAACAAGGTGCGTTGGACCTGCTGCCGCCGCATCCAGCTCGGCTGTCGCGCCAGTATCACCACCCTCGACTCTCTCATTGTCCGGTCCTTTTTGCACCACAATCATTCCTAGCATAATAATATCTACACCAGGGGGCGTTAGACAAAGTGCATTTACGAACCGATTCCATAACAAACTTCAAAAATGTATAGAACTGAGAATAACTTTCGATAATTCACGTGATTGTGTTGATTAATTGGAATCGCTACGAAGCGAATGCACTTTGTCTAACTAAGAAAAGGAACTAAGGAAAGTTTCCAGAGTGATCGAATAAGATTTCAAATCGCCAGTATTCGATTTTCAAAATTAGAAACTAGATTTTGTTCAATTATAAATTTAAGAAATTGGCTCAATTCAATTTTGCACTCACACATACAAGATGAGAATAATAAACACATTGACATTAATCACAATCTACTAAGTGCCTTATTGTAAAAAAGATTTTACATGTATTTGATATGAATTTTGTAATATTGACTAATTTGTGCCTTTTTAAGTGTTCTTAGCGCATTCGATGCGTTTTGTGAGCTTTAAAAAATTACAATGTTAGTTATATAAGTAGGTATAAGTATATTTGTTAATATTACAGTAATAAAATATATATTTGGAAACAAAACTTTTATTACTATTTAAGTAAATTACAATATAAATTTCTTGCGCGTCTTTTCAAATCAAATGCGAATCCATTTTCATGATGCAATAACGATAGGAGAGCGCCGGTGGCTCAGGGGTTTACACAATTGACTTATATTCAGCAGGTTCTGGGTTCGAATCCCACCATGTACCAATGTGTTTTTCGATTAACGTATGTAAAGGAAAACATCGTGATGCAACCTACACATATCTAAGAAGAAATTCAAAGACGTGTGTAGTCAACCAACACGCACTGGGCCAGCGTGGTTGACTGGCCTAGTCACCCCTAACTTTGGGTAGGGTTCGAGCCCCTCAGTGGAGATGTATAGTGAGCTGATGATGATTGCTATACAAGACAGTATTCTTCGACTCGGTCCTGTTTAAATTTGCATTGTTTAAGGAGCTTAATACCATATTTTCTATACGGGGTGCATTTTATATTGGCATTCCTCGCTACTTAGCTGACGGACCGCTGGTATTTTTTTTATTGTGTTCAATGATTGTGGTTATTATTCAGTTTTACGATTTCATCGTTCAATGTGATTGCAATAGCTCGACATTTTGCGAATGTCTTGTTACATCGCCATCTTGTACGGCCGCGTGTATTTGTGTAGTGCTTCCCGAATTTGTAGTCCCCAATATGCAATATCTTTCTGCCATTCCACTCCGTAATCAAGATTTTATCTAAAATTTAAAGATTTTTTATCAATGTTTGCTTTAAACATTCATATAATAAGGAGGTACAGCATGCGACCTCTTGATCTCATATAATCGAAGTGCATATAGACATCTATCAATAACAAACAGGGGAGAAGATTTACAGAATGGGGATTTCCTCTCCCTCCTCTCCTCCGTCAATGTCTAACATGGAAAAGATGGAAATGGAACGAATAGAACTGGCCATCTGTATCCTTATTTGTCAGATGGTACGTAGAGTTCTCTACTACTCGCCTGTCTTCTGGTCATGTCACGTCAAGGGTCGGAGCGACCCATTCGACAACATGTTACTCCTACTAATGAATGATACTTATGATTGGGTATTCGAATAAAAGAAACATTCATGAAGGTAATCTGCAAAATTAACTTAAACCAAAAACATTTTTTTTAACTTTTTTGCACGTCGTATAATTAAAAAAATATTTCCTAATCAGCATTTATTGCTAAATATTATTTTAATCGCTTTTACTAATAGTAACAATACTCGCTTACAATTATAACTACGTATTTAAATCAAACTACTTTAAAATAACATGTTTATCTAAAAAATAGCGAAAAATTATTTCTGCATTAAGGCATAATGTCAGTCACTCTTATCGGTGGAACCTACATTAGGAACTTTTGGAATTGGCGTATTATCAATATTCTTATTTTCCGTCAGAGGTAAATTAAGCCCAGTTTCTTCATCCCTTTGGTTATCACTTAAAACTTCAGTTACATTAATGGTATCTCTTTCTTCGTCTTGGAGATTACTTCTTATTTCATTTCGACCTATGTAACAATCTGTCACATTTATACTATTTTCTAAATAAGTATTACTGAAAAGAGGATCTAAGGGAGAATTCTTCGCTTCATCAATAGAATTTTCAAGCCTGGCTGGCAAATCTGCAAACAGAAACTCATCTACTGCTGTTACTAGCTTAGATCTTTCTAATTCAGTCTCTTCATCATCAGATAAAATTTCAATTGGCGCTTCATCTCTAACAACTTCGATGACATCATCATCCGAATCATTTTGTTCATTTGCTTCAGAAGTAACATCAGTTATTATCATATTTAAGTTTTCATCACCTGCAAAATTAACAGTTTACACGTTATCAAGTTGCCTTACATTTCTTCTCTACTTACTTAATCTAAATTCAATAAAAACTCAAACATCATGTAGATGAAGGGCCCAAGATGGACTCAAAACTAGTCGGTGCCCACCGGACGAATATACGTAAGTGTTTAGCCGTTTTATATAAGTTTATCATGTAGATGCTTTAGCTAATCACTACATAGATTGCCATTTAAAAAAAAAGATTTTTACTTAATATATCTTTATTTAAAAAAAAATTGGTGCATTACAAATCTAGAAGTAAAGACAATAATCGTACATAATAAAAGAGATTAACATATAAGTGCTTAAAACGAATCATTAAAACTAAAATCATTGTATTTCTAATTTCTTGGTCGTTCGAGCCGGGTTTAATCCAGTCCGAGAGTCCAGACAGTTGACAATTTAATGGTTATGTTCACCACTAATAGCAATTATTTCTAGGTCCGTACCAAATGTCTTAATCTTGACAGGACATAGTACCCAGGTATTATGGTAGTATTTACAACACCATGTCTTCTTGCCCGCTGTGGTTTTGGATCGAAGATTGTACACCTGACCTTGATAGTGAAGAATCTCGCCGCCTCTTCGAGATGTACTCACATATTTTTCATTTTTACTTTTATCTGTAAGACAAAAAAAAATATTTGTATTAAGAATGTTTTTATTGTATCGAAGCCTTAAATTCTACATTTTCTCCTCTATCTCTAGGTTCGGTGTAATTATTTTATGGTCAGTTGTTAAGTAAACTAAATCAAATACATATTTAAAACATATTATTTTAATTAATTATTCAAGATAAAATGCTACAAATATTTTGGAAGAAATAACGAATATTTTTGTTTATTTATATACCTTGACAATCTCTCACAAGATATTTCGCAATTATGTGCCTAATTCAGCGATGTGGATGACATGATGCATTAAGGTTAACATTATCATCATCAGCTCACTATATGTTACCAGCAAAGGGCTAGAAGCCTAACCTAAGTTAGGGGTGACTAGAACATAGTCAACCACGCTGGCCCAGTGCGGGTTGACTTCATACATATTTGAATTTCTTTTCAGATATGTTGCATTACATCACGATATTTTCTTTCGCCATAAGAACGTCGGATGTATGGATAAAAATATACGTATTGTTAGAAAGAAATTCCGACACTGTGCCGGTGTACTGGCGCAACACTAGCCTTACTAAAATGTCGACATTTATGTCCCTAATCGTTCTGACACTTGACTTTGTAACAAAGCGCGCCATTCTCGCCAAAGCATTCTAACTAATAATGTCTAAAATTATGTATTATATTACAGTACCCGGATGATCGAGCTTTGCTCGGTATTATTTTTTTTTAATTGTGTTTTTTGGAAATTATATTTAAGTACGAATTACTAATAAAATCATGAAATATGAATAATATTTTTCGATCTTACCGATAGAAAAAGTTAAGTTTATGTTTAAGTTGATTATCGATAAAACACGAATAAAATGACATTTTCTTAAAATGATTCCTAGCTAGATCGATCTATCGCCCCCGAAACCCCCTATATACAGAATTTTATGAAAATCGTTGGAGCCGATTCCGAGATTCCAATTATATATATACAAGAATTGCTCATTTAAAGATATAAAATAAGATTATGTTTTGTTATAAGTCAATGATTTATACCAGGCTCCACTCTTATTTAGTCTAAAATCTGGTGGTGTATGGGTGTGCTGAACTCCACCAAATATGAAAACGTCTTGTATACTTTTGGCAAACGCCTTGCAATGTTTAGCAATTCTACTGGAACAATACCATAAAACAGTGCCTGAAGCTAACTCACGTTGCCTCTTATATGTATATTTGTTCAGCCATAGCATAGGATGCTTTCCAAACCGAGACGGAAGGAGATATGCTGAAATAATATCAATAATTATTCATCATCATAATATAAGGACGACAATGTGTTTGCCGATGGAGTTGTTACCAACTTTTGCTTACGTGTGTCATACTCTAAAGTTGATAATACATGAACTCTACTTTTTCTTTTACTTCTTTAATACATATAATGAACTCTATTAGTTAAATAAGAAAGAAAAATAGAAAAATAGAATGACATTCCGATGGTCAAAATCTGTTTAGTAGTTTAGATTAAAAGACAAACTCTACAAAAGCTAACATAAGCGCAAATTCCAGTTACGATAGATTATACTTTTATAATAATAAAATATCTTAATTACATACCATTATAATAAATTGAATACACCATCACATAGAGATTAGAAACTTAAATGATTAATAATAATAAAAGCAAGCTTAGTCTAACATGGTAACGTAAAGACTCGAGAGAGAAACAGAAGTAGAAAGGTAGAGCGTCTGAGTAAAAAGCTGGTTTGACATCATAAATGTGCAAGAAAATATTCCAGATAATGTCCTCCATGGATCTCACGATGGTCTGGACTACTTCGGAAATTATTGGTTCATAGTTTTCTTGATTTATATTTTTTCATTTTGCGCTTTCTGATCCATGTACCGTTGCTAAGCTGAGTGCATCGCGGTGGGTCGTGATTATGTTCTATTTTTCCAAACGCATAAGAATCTTGGATACTTTTCACCTGGGCTTTGCATCCATAGTGACGATTGGAACAATACCAAATGACACCACCTGATGTTAATATACTTTGTCTCTTGAATGTGTATTTGTCGAATAACAGCAATGGATACTTTTTCTTTGTCGCCAAGAAGTACACTGTGGAATTACAATATTATTACACTTCTATCTATTATAAATTTAAATGTTCGGATGTATAGATGTTTGTAACCACTTTAAAATGGCTAAAAGAATATTGGATGAAATTGGACATTGATTACAGTCTGGAATTGCGTCTAAATTAAAAAAAAAACTCACAGTTAAATCAAACAACTTTTAATGAAACAAACTATAGATTAAAATACAAAATATCATAGACAATATACTTATTGAATTGTAACCATAAACAAGTTATTTAGAGAAAAACAAAACAGTTTAATTAAAAACGAACAATATCGCTGGATATTTCATACATCTACGGGATAATCCATCGACCGGTTCTTGTTCTAAACTTCGGTGCATCATGGTTGTGGTTTCTGACGCACATAATTTCATCATCATCCGCCAGACAATATGCCCTGCATCCTTTATGCACCATAACGCATCGCCAGAAAGTTTTCCCAGTGTGATTAACCCTTATATGCTTATATACGTAACCATTACAAACCATCAATGGATGTTTTTTCCCCGTCGATAAATATGTGATTTCTGAAACAAAATTTAGAATTGAAGAATAACAAGTTCAATGACACTAAATGCTAAATACGTAGTACTATATCGTTTTCATGTTTTAAGGCAAACAAATTGCAACGAACTTTCAAAAAAAAAATTCAAAATCGGAGCACCAGGGGCGTAGTTACGTTGTAACACACATAAAAAAATACAGACGAATTCATAACCTCCTTCTTTTTGAAGTCGGCTAATGAAATACACTACTGGAATTTGGGTCAGTCATTGGTCAGTCATATCGATGTTTTAAAAGACAATGAATAATTTATTTCATACAATTCAATCCGTGTTAAGGAATAAAACAAACATGTTTTTATACAATAAATATACTTTGAATAACAAAAATAAATCTACAAATTTATAATAATTATTTAAATTGCACATTCGTCAAGTAACCTTCGTTGTTCCGGACTAGAGTAGGTCGTTCGTGATTGTGAATATTTTCAATCAGTAAAATTCCAGCTCTTGGGTCTTCCGTATTAGTTTTCACTGAGACCCTGCATCCCATATGCCATTTGGAGCATCTCCATCTTACGTGGCCGTTCACCAGGACCTGGTATCTCTTGAAGGTGTACCCGTGGAACATGAGACGAGCGTGTTTTCTCCCTGGTATCATCTCGATATCTATAAAGCCATACTTTTCTGTATTAACGACAAAATACATTAGAACTAGACTTCAATATAAAAAATTAAAAAAGCGCATTTTCTTTTGTCTTGTATATTTATAGTACAGCTGTCGCCCTCGACACCGTCCGCGAGGAATTAAAAAAACCATAATAAGTAGCCTATGTCTTCTTCCGTCAGAGAGCGTCGATGGCTCAGGGATAGAACACTAGACTTGCAATCTGCAGGTCCTGGGTTCAATGTGTTTTTCGGTTTTCGGTTTACATATGTATATTTATCGGACGTTCTTACGGTGAAGGAAAACATCGTAATGCTGCACATATCTGAGAAGAAATTCAAAGATATGTGTGAAGTCAACCAACCCGCACTTGTCCAGCATGGTTGACTATGGCCTAGTCACCCCTGACTTAGGGTAGGCTCCTCGGTGGGGACTTATAGTGAGCTGATGATGATGATGTTGATGATAATGATGATGTGTTCTTCCAGACTATGTTCTTATATGTGCCCAATTACATTAAAATCCGTTGAGCAGTTTTGGAGTTAACTTCTAACATCCATCCATCCATCTAAACATTTATCGATATACAACATTTCTCCACTTCGGTGTAACTGATTTTGGTACAAGTTTTGGCATGTGGCAATGTACATCATAAATTTTCTTTATACAATCGAGACGATGAGGTAACGATGTTATGAAAGCTTTACAACCAGTCCTCATCCTTCTGGAACAATGCCAGAGTACTCCTGTACTAGACATCCATTTGTATGTATAAGTTTGATTCTTGTACATTAATAGAGGATGTTTTCCTTTACCAGATGGTATAAGAATACCTAGAAAATAACTTTAAATTTAGTCTTTATTACATAAAGTTTCTAGTTTAAAGTGAAACGTTGGTCTCAAGAAATTCGTCTCAAACTTACATTTTACACTTTTTAAAAATACCTTAAATATGCCCTGTTCGTGTCAAATACTTCGGTAGTTAACTGCTTTGATGGATCTTGCGCTTAAATCGAAACAGATGAATTCTTGGCTAGATTATTTTATATTTCTAAAGCCAATCTCTTCCCCGAATTAATACTATTAAAGGTAAAAATAACACATATCTAAAAAGCAATTCAAAGATATGTGTAAAGTCAACCAGCACTTGGCCAGCGTGGTTGACTATGGCCTAATCACCCTTAACTTAGGCTAGGCTCCGAGCCCCTCGGTGGGGACGTATAGTGAGCTGATGATGAAAGGTAAAAATAGATAGACTATTTGAAGGACATAAATAAAGAAAGAAAATAGATAAAAAAAATATGTTTTAAAGCGTCTTTATTGATACACGATATTGATAAAAAAGCCAAGATTATTAAATATCTATACTTAATACTTAGGTGGTAAGAGAGACCCTTAAGTTATGCAACGTCTACACGTGGTGTAACCGTGGATTACCACTGCGTTAGCGTACTTGCAAATATTTATTATTTTAAGGAAATATTTTTTGCATGATTTTTACGGCAATGGAAACTCACAGTAACATTATAAATAACATATAGTCGACAGCATTGGCATCAAATTAAAATATCTAAAAATTGAATACTACACTTAGAATTAGGATTTTTTACACAATATTTTTTTTTAATATTTAAAGAAACAATATACACGCTGTGATTGTTTTTAAAATATTTTATAAATAAATTATAAAAAAAACTTTTTATCTATAAATTTAAATATCACCTAAGTTAAAAGGGATACATTCTAACACTATTCAGATTATTTTTTCTATAAAGCGACAAACGAGCAGGCGACCGAATTCGCCGAAATAGAAAAACGAACATTGCCAGACATTCGCAATTGGAGATGCATTGCTTACTTTCAGAAAGTGAATCCAGACGGGGAGTCCGATGAGCCGCGGTCTGTTCTAGAGTCTACGTGTGGAGTTCATGAAGGTGCTGCATGACTCACGTGGGTGCTGGATACTTGAGCTTAGACCGAACTTTGAGGAAGCTCAAGGAGATATATTATTTGATGAATATGCGGACCTGTGTCGCGCAATATCTACGCAAATAACATGTGACAAAAGTACAAAGCAACCTGAAGCCTGTAGGTTTGCTTCAAACAGCAATACTCCAGCAACATTTCCAAGTGCTTGCTTTTTCCAGTATCAAAACCCAGAACACAATCCCAAAACAAATTTGCCAATAGGAACGATTGTTTGGTAATTTTTTTTAACTTAATTATACTATCTAAATATTTATCACATAAATCTAGGTTTCTCTAGAAATATAAGCGAAGGGTATTGCATTTAAGTTCAAACTTATGTCACAATTACACGTATTATAGAAAAAAATCATAAACCTACTGTTAATACTTGCTCACTTACTTGCAATAAAAAGCGTATAACAATTATTATATTACTTTGTACATTAAATTATTCAAACATACGTGAGACATTATAATAAACTTATATAAAAACGGCTAAACACTCACGTATATTCGTCCGGTGGCGGCACTGACTAGTTTCGCGAACGCGGCCCGATGGGCTCGCAACTAGTCAGTGCCGCCACCGGATGAATATACGTGAGTGTTTAGCCGTTTTTATATAAGATTATTTTGTACATATTAAATATATTAAATAAATAACAGATATGAATATGGAACTTTTACTCTAGAAGCAGAAATGTAGAAAAAAAATTGAGATCAGCAAGAAATAATTTCACGTCGTAGCAGTAAAAGAAGTTATTTGACACTAGCTGTAGCAGCCGACTCCGTCCGCACGAAATTAAAAAAAATACCTTAACTAGTAGTCTATGTGTTATTCCAGGTTATGTTCTACAATTATGCCAAATTACGGCGAAATAAATGAAGCCGCTCCTGCGATACAATGAATATATGGATGGATGATTGTAGCAAACATCCATCCATTCATTCATCCAAACATTCGCATTAATAATATTAGCAAGATAATTGTTCACAAACACGATTTTTCCTACTTAATCTAATTACGAATACTAAATTCTATAAGAATTAAATGCGTTCAATATACTTATGTAGATTATTGTACTAGAATACTATTATAACGCTAATCAAACTTTACGGCAGCTCGCAATTCTTGGAAATGTAAACAACAAAAAGGTTTTATGTATCTGACGTTTATAATTAAACGGTGACATTGACAACTTACAGTTGACTGTATGTCAAAGTCTGCGGAATATTTAAAAAAAAATGCAACACTGTTTCGTTCTTCTTTTGTCTGCCACTGTAAATGCTCTTGTCTTTACCGTTCTCTTTAAATAAATCTTTTTATTTCTTAATGTTTTTGTACAGAACCCATCAGCAATTTCATACGAGATGATACGAGAAACGAGATATAAAGATATGAGGGGGAAAGAGACAGACTGCGAACCCATTACACACGCGGTGGGGCCGTCTCTCACCCAAATGCGATAACGTTGTAGCAACGAGCCGCCATTAAGTCTGAATCTTGTAATACAAATCAACTCAACGAAATGAGTTACATCTTAAAGGATCTTAGCGATGTAACTATTTTCGTCTGAGAAAGTTATGAATACATTCAGAAGAATAAATAAGAGCTTTGTAATGGCTTGATATCTGCGGTGCTGTCTTGACGTTTCGGAGGGGGATGATCGTGAGGCTTATAAGCATATGCTTTGTCTCCAATACTAATAGCCGATGCTCTGCAACCCTTCAATCTGCGTGAACAGTACCACGAAACACGTCCATTGGCGTTCCGTTTCTGATAACTGTAAGTGAAACCATCTAGAAGCAGCAATGGATGTTTCACACCGCGTTTCGTCCAAAGAAATGTTCCTGAGGGAAATGACAAACTTTATTAGTGTTGTGTTGTTATTTCGCTTTATCTTTG